ATGGATGGGACATCCGTTGATTATCAAAGACAAACGTTCTCTCTCTCTCTCTCTCTCCTTCTCTCTCTACCTTTTTTTTCTATTTCTTACTGTCGTGCGCGTGCACGGCCGACGTCGTCGACCGCCCCCGGCCCGCGGCCGCAGGCTCCGAGGGCCGCATACGTGACCCTACAGGATGGCGTGCCGCGAACGTTCCACTGATAATTTACAAGGACGATAGAGAGCCTGAGTAACGACGCTGCTTGTGTAAACGCGGCCTCCCGCGAGGATGCTTCGTGTGCAAAATTAAAAGCGTATGCATCTATAGTGAGAACGTGTATATAAATACTATAAATAGGGACAGAGTTGTTTTTTTATTATTATTATTATTTGCACAGTATTGTCTTCTTTAACGCTAAGAGTCATTTCTATAAAGATTTATTCCTTAAATATGAAAAGCTTGTCCCTAAAATTTTTATATAAATCGAGATAAATATAGCATTAGAATTAGAACATATATATGATTTTGATTGACGTATTATTCTCTTTCTCTTCGAGTAAGGGAAATATATTTCCCTTCTTTCTATTGGACCCACATATGCTGTAATTATCTCATTCTTATTATGTAAAACAATTTAATTTGACGAACTAATTTACTTTTTCCTTTGAACCTACCTATTTCCTCAGTTTGAATGTTGAACGTTATTTTAAATTGCCGTAAAAAGTCTACACGAGAAACGTAAAAACGGACAAACGTTTCAAAAAGACTCGAAATGCACGAGATTTGTTCTCGCACAAAGGCTCGCCGATGCAACGTAATATCTGGCCGCATGCGAAATAAGGTGATACACTACGGCTGCTATTACGTTTCATTGCACGACATTAGACAAGATTACGTTGCTTCTCGTAATGTTACGCCGAGCCTCATGACTTAATGGCTTATTTCATCATCGTTCCACCTCGAGTATATGATACGTCCCTCGTCGTTGTGTGTGTCTTTTTAAGAGTGCCTCCGAGAGCACGGTTTGCTATCATTTGCATAAGCGTTGCATAACCGCGACATGCAAAACACATGCAATCATATCATGACTCATCTGAAGTGTATCGATTTTATTTATCGATAATATTCTTTAATTAGCTTAAAATTTTATCGTTGCAATTATTGTCAACAATAATTGCTTTCTGTGTAGTATCTCTTTATTAAAAAAAGTTTTATTTCTTTAAAATATTATTCTTCACAAATTTTGCCAGCGACATGTCAAGTTTTAATATTGATACAATTAATCATTAATTTGAAGTAACTTTTCTTAATAGAAATATTGACAAGTATCATATTATGTCTTGCAAATTTCTAATTTTTAAAAAGTATCTTCGTGTAATCACAATAGTAAATAAAATTTAACTAAAATATAATATAGTTTTTTTATATCTAATTGTAAGAATAATAGTTTTTATATTTGAAGTTTTAAAAACTTGATTCCCCTAAAAACCCTTTGAATTTTTATACATATATAACTTGAAGTCTTTATTTTAAAGGAAATCTACGCATCATAAAAAACAAATCTCTTTTAAGATATCTCGATAAATTTCGTTGAATCAGAGGCTGTACTGAGTATGGATTTAGTTCATAATAAATCGCGAGAACAAGAATTAATAAGCCTGTAACAGCGAATCGATGTCTTACTCAGCGATTCGTAGAGGAAGTCTGTATAACGGCTGAAATTCGCTTCAAATCCGCTTGTCGGTTCCCGATTTCTACGCACACGAGAGTGGTGCACGTGCACGGGCATCATTAATCTTGCCTGACCAATGATCAACGACCTCTCTCATTGACTACGGCGTACGAGCATGCGAGGCGTACGTGTGCGGTCCCGCGAATGACTATCGAAGGGCGCGCGCGGCTCTTCTTAGCCTACGAAAGTCCATAAAGCATTTCTAACAAATGTGGTTTGCACGCACTACGAACTGTAATGAGTATCCCAATTGAAGAGCTAATTAGAATGTACAGAGATAATAATGTTCTTGGATGCATTTATCTTCTTTTGCAAGTTATTCGATTGCATAACTTTAAGATAATGCCATTTTACAACGACACACATCATTAGTATGTACATTCTAATTACATATTATGTAACATATACAACATTATATATTATAAATTTTATGTTTTATATATCAAATGTCTATTAAAACAATTATATTTTTTTCATTGCTTTTGCTTTTGTAAGTTTTCCAATTAAATTCATGATTGCCTATATTGTTATTGGTAATAAATCACGCTTACAAAGATCAAGTTTTAAATGCGCCACGTCGGACATTACACACATGGAGTTATTACACGGCGAGAATTCTAATTGCGACAAATTTATCTCTCTCAATAAAACGCAACAGGCCATTGTCCGCCGAGGCACCTAATTAGATCGGAAATGTAATAGCACGTGGAATAAACTCCTGATATCCGCCCACGTACACGTGAATGCCGCACGTGTCTTGGTAAGTAATGTATCCGTCGTATATACTGGATGTTCCAGAGACTCCGTATAACAATTATAAAGCGGTATATTCTCTTATAGATATTACATCTTGTTACAGTTTTACAAATTTGCAACATTAAATATAATTAAATCAATTAAACATACATTTATGATATATATTTGTCGACAAACATATTGAAACATATTTATTTACATTAAAACATTAAAAGTGTAAAATGAAATGCTATCGCTTATCTTTCATAGATTTACCAGATTAAATTAACTTGGGTCTCGCTTTTAACAATGGAAATATCGTCTCGAAACTTGAAAAGAAAACCCTGCCTTGCCGTCATTACTGCAAGCTCTCGCGGACACCCGATATAGCTGCCCTGTAAAACGGTGTCACCGCCGCGCGCCCGTTAGGGTCGTAGGGATGCGAGCTGTTTCGCGAGTGGGCGGGGATTATTAATGACCACGAGCCGCCTTATCTTTTCCACTTCCTGTTCGAGATACATAATACGTGGGCCGCCCCGCGCGCGGTAGTTGCATCGCGTCGCAACATTGTGCGTAACCGGCTTCTCGGAGGCTCTCTCGCGCTCTCGTCTCTCATTGTGTGTGCCCCTCGCGTATAATCGTGACGCTGCGCATGCACCCGCGTATTTATCATCGCCCGGAATCGCACCCGCGTCGCGGCAAAGGAATGACTTGAGCGAACGATTAATCGTCGTTATCCTCGATCGCGCGGAAAATTTTATTGCCGTTGCCGTAGCACGTAATATCGGACAGAATGTCTCGGCGACATTGTATAGGTACTTTATAATACGCAGCTTCAACTTCAAGGAGATCTAAATTTTATAATATCTATAATATTGAATTATCAGTTATCAATTATTTAACGCAAATTGGAAAGGGTCGCAGCGAAATGTGACCATACAAGTTTGATGGAGAATTACCATCTTATAATTTATTATTACACAAAGCTCTGAATTTTTTGCAACATCGTATCGGATCATTGAGATATTCAACACAAATTGGAAAGTTATAACGAAACGTAGCATCCAATTTTGATGGAAAATACTGCTTTATAATTTACTCTTAACAAAGCTCTGAATATAGTTTAAATATTTTATTATAATATCGCATCGAATATATAATTGAGATATTTAACACAAATTGAAAATTTGAAATAAAATATAATGAACATCGACAAGTTCGGTAGAAAATACCGTTCTATTATTTACTGTTACACAAAGAAATGTTTTACATTAAAACCCATATTGTTACCTATATACAAATTATATAACACTGCATAGAGACACCGCATAGGCGTAGAGCGCCATAAATGCTTGGTATATTATCTTATTCGTAATTTTTCTTGAATTTCTTTCTTTAAAAAAGATGAGGTAATATAATAAAAAAAATACTGCTCTACATCGGACAGTCTTATCCTCAGCAGTCTTTCTCGTAAACCCGAGAGACATAAGGAGGCTGGGAAAGAATATAAAAGCAACCCCCAGAAGGAATAGGCGCTGCGGCTTCTTTTATTGGCGAAATTAAAGAACACGTAGAAATGCAATTGGCGACTCTTTATGCAACTTCCTAAGAACCCTACGGGTCCTTCCTCGTGCCGAGAGCGGTTCACGGATTTAGGTCCGACGAGAAGGAGGTCGGAACCCTCGCATACGAGTTCTCGAGGGGTAGATCCAGATTTTCGATATTATTTGCTTTGTACCGCGTTACAGGGAGCAGAAAAAGATAGATATATATAAAGAGAGAGAGAGAGAGAGAGAGAGAGAGAGAGAAGACGAGAAACTGTGCAAATCCTCGGTAACAGGAGGCGAACACGAGAACCCCATCCCGTTATTCCTCCGGAAAATCGCTTCGCCTATAATAAGCCCAAACGATTGCTTCGCGAAATTGCTTTTCTTCAAACAGAGGCGTTTGATGTCGCGTCTCCTTTTTGACGGATCGTAATCGCGCGCGTGTTAGTGCGCTCCGAGCTGTCGGGCCTCGCTGCCGGAAAGACAGAAAGATCTCTTTGGATCTTTAGCCGACGTTTCCTATCTCGTATTCATGGGCAAATGGGCGACGCGGAATATTTGCTCCGCGCGAACGACTCGCAAAGAATACAGTAAAGTCTCATTTTCTCCCTCTGGTATTAAATAGCAAAATATTACTGTCAGTACGAATATGAAGCGTGTGTAAGAGATAATCTGCGATTTATAATTCGGAACAACATAAATATTAACAAATTGTACGAATAATTTATATATTATATATTGTTAATCGATATCGAACAATTGGAAATTAACCGTAATGTAGCATAAGTATTGCGCATGTCGATTACGATGTTATATATCTTTAGGTATCAATGAGCGCGTTGTATGTAAGTTTCTCTTAAGAAACTTTGCTGAGAAATCAACACTAATTTACGATAGACAAAATTGTCTGACAATGAGCTCTACATAGCGTGTGATATACATATCAATTAAGCTCTCTCACTTACCTTTGCGAAGTACCATATCTGACGTCACTTTTTCTTTGCAGCCCCCATGCATCCGGAACACTCTATGGGACAGCCATCGGGCGACAAATTTTCCACGGGAATGTCCGGTACGGGCTTCATCGATGGGTGAGTACCAGACTCGATTCTTACCTAGAACACAGTACAAGTCGCTTGTTTCTTCGCATTTAATTAACGGAATAATATCGAACGCTTTTCGCGAATCACAATAAGCGAAGTAATTTATACCTCTCTTTATTGCTAATGCCAGCTTTAATTACTTTTCATCTGATAATTTATATTGCTACGCTACGAACATCCCTTGAGTTTCTAAATCTTTCTTTCTTTAAAAAAAAAAAAAAAAAAAAAAAATGCCGCAGTCGCAGAAGTTTCGTGCATAAAAATGGCCGTCGAACGGGAAAAATGGCATGGGCAAAAGTCGACCGTAAAAATCGTGGAATTTCAAGATTTTGGGGAGCTTGCTTGTCGTGATGTTTCATCATTCCGCTAATTCTGTCAAGGTTCTTAGCCAATATTTGCCATTTCACTTACTTTGTCTTAATCCCGTCACTCTCTCGACGCTCCCGGCCCGGAAGAGAGAAAAGTTTTAGGATGGTTTCATGGCGACGCGCGCGACCGAAATGAATTTGAATTTTCACTCGGCGAGCGCGAACTGAGCGACGCGAAGGGGTGAAAAACGTGATCCGTAGCGCCATCTGCGGAAATTCGGGCTCACTAACGTTCGCGACATCGTGGACATCGCGACAAGCCGGACAGGCTGCTGGCTGCTGTGCCCGGCTGCCCGCAGTGCCGCACTGCCCGCGGCAATTAGTTTACAAATGGTTGACACCGGGTGTGGTGTCAAATGACACGAGCTCCTGCACGCCAAGCCAAATGTTTTGATAGTTGATCTACGAATTATGAAGCTACTCTTGTACCTAGCATTGTTGCAGAATACGTGTATTTTTGTACGAGCCGTAATTAACGCCGGGAACACGACGGAGCCGAGGTAGCGCAGCGAGACCAATCGTCTCGCGAGGTTACGTAGATCCACGCGAGAGCATTTTTTTTTTATTTCGAGATAACGTGGCTTTTCAAGCACGAAGTCGATACGACTGATAGTGGCCGGTCAGCGACTGATAACGACCGACTTTCCTCCGTCGATTCGCCTCGAAATGCGACGAACAACAGCTAGAAATACAACTTTCCTGTGACTTCGCTGGGGTTATGTTTTGAAATGAAAACGCGTCCATTCCAGTCCGAATCATCACATAAAAATATCACGAGCGATAATTGTTTTTCTATTTGTTAGCGTAATTTTGCTTTGGCTTCTTATTAAGATAAATTCACGCGAAATTCAAGTCATAAAAACCCTATGTGAAAAATATTATCTTTGCCAGTATGTTTTCACACCAATAAATATACCAATAAATATAAGAATATGCGTAAAATCTGTTGTCTTTATTTGTTGTGACAGCATGGGACATGGTGACACGTTGGACATCTCCGTTGGAAATGGGATGTCTACGCCTCACATCTCTCACTTGGCGTCCGCGAATCCGTTCAATATACTTTCGCCGAGTCCACAGCCAACCAGCTCACAATCCAGCACTATGGATTTCAATACAAACAGCGGCCTTACTAATGGCAATATACAATTCCCTCCTAATGTGAATTTCGACGAGATGTCGAGCATAAGTTCAGTTTCAGGCAGAAAGGACAATCATAAAGGAACCTGCGAGGTTTGTACTTGAATATAAAAATAGATTTTAATTAAGACATTCATGATGTATAAAAAGGAGTTACACAAAATAGTTGAATTTTTACAGGTCTATATAGGAAAAACCTGTGCACAATTTGTAGGAAATCAATCGGTTTATATTATACATCCCATGACACAAAAAATGCTCGAGGAGAAATTAATGAAGGCCTTTCAAGTTATCAATTTCTCCAAGTACGTTGCTTCGAAGCTTCAGAATATATTGAAATGAAATTTGCGTACAATATATAATACAATATTTAATATCGCGGTGTTAAATAAGGTGAGAAAAGCTAAAATGTTTTTAACTGTTTTATCACAGCGAGCTCTCGTCAAATTGCGAAGGGTACGCAAAGCCGTCTCTTTGCTATTCCGCCTTTCCAATATGCCGCGACCCATCAAACACTCAGAAACCGAAGAACGCGGAAGCGAGCACGCAACTCTTTAACCTTCTGAATTCCAAGCAAGACGATTTCTTGGACGACGGAGACCGCGACGACACGGATGATTTTTCGAGACTGCATAGCGTTCCCAAACGTAGTCCTACTTTGGGCCCAATTTTCGACTTCATGTCCAATGAAGATGGGAAGTCGAGCAACAAGAAGATAATTAATCAGAGTTACGGCGACACGCGAGCGTCCAGTAGAAACGAGATTAATCGTAAATTACGAAGGATATGCCGCGAGGAATGCGAAATGCTGGAGAATGAGTTGTGCAGGAAGGAATATGCGATAGCGAAGAGGCATCCGTTGATTGGGCATCAAGTGCCTTTAGTTGAATGTTCTGACTTACCACTGGAAGGGACAACTGAGGCTCGTGATTGCTTAACGCTTGGGTTATCCGTAGCAAACAATGTGCAAGAAAGTATGTATCTTTTTACATTTTTATTTCAAATCTAACGTGTATATTGGGTTGCTACATCACAGAATAGATACATTCAAGACGATGCAACGAATTAAATTGATTTTAACTTTCAATCCTCTATCGCTTGCATATCAAAACAATCTTAACATGTTTCTTGCAGATGATTATTGCTACTGGGGTAGTGGGAAATCCTATCGAGGAATTGTAAAAACGAGCGTCAGTGGAAGGCCGTGTTTACGGTGGTTTCATCACTTCAACCTTCCGATTTCTGATTATCCCGAATTAGCTGGACGTCATTCTTATTGCCGGAATCCTGGGGGCAAAGAAATTCAACCATGGTGTTACGTCGATGTCAATAACAGAATGCAAAAAGAGTTTTGCAATATACCTAAATGTGGTAAGAATTTCTAAATTAAGTATACATATTTTACTTATATAAATATTTAATGAAAAAACATATATCTGTTACTTTCAGTTGAGAATTTATGGATTTATGCGGTCGTTGGTTTTGTACTAACGGGAGGATTTGTTATTATATTAATTTGTTATTGCTGCTGCTACAGAAGTAGAAAATCCAGAAGGCAAATGAATCATTTACCATCCAATAAAGTAAATATATCAGTATATACACATATTTCTAAATTATAAGTTGCAATTAGCTAAAACAATACTTTATTTTCAACAGATGTTAACTAGTATCCAGTGTGATAAAAACATATATGATGGAAGGAGGAGCACGACGCAACCTATGGAAATGAGTTCTCTCTTGGCAGGGCCTGGTAATACGACACCGGGCACTGGCACCTTAAGCAGTGGCAGTAGTAGAACTTCTAATAATAGGATACCGCAATTTACTACAAATAATATCGTGCTCTTGCAAGAACTCGGTGAAGGTGCTTTTGGTAAATATTAACAAATTATTCATTTTTTTCTGTGTGTAAATTCGATAAATGATTCACTTTAAACTAATATTGATTATATCTTTAGGAAAAGTTTACAAGGGAGAATTGCAAACCGGAAATAAGTGTGAGCCACCCATTTATGTAGCGGTGAAAACACTGAAGGAAAATGCAACTCCCAAGACTCAGAGCGACTTTAAAAGAGAAGTCGAATTGATGACGGATCTACGGCATCCGAATATCATTTGTTTGCTCGGTGTGATATTGAAAGGGGAACCAATGTGTATGCTCTTCGAGTACATGACTCAGGGAGATCTGCATGAGTTTCTAATCTGTCACTCCCCGAGATCGGATGTTCCATTAAATAACAGTGGCGGAAAAATTCTAGAGCAACCGGAATTTTTGCATATTGCTTTACAAATTGCTTCCGGTAGATATTAATTTATTTTACGATTAAGTTGACATAATTTTGATACATACAATAATTATCGTTCTTCTTAGGCATGGAATATTTGGCTAGTCATCATTACGTCCATCGCGATTTGGCAGCGAGAAATTGCTTAGTAGGCGATAATTTAACAGTAAAAATCTCAGACTTTGGTCTGTCGCGAGATATATACAGCAGCGACTATTACAGAGTACAATCTAAAAGTTTACTCCCTGTTCGATGGATGCCACCCGAGTCGATTCTGTACGGTAAATTTACTACAGAGTCGGACGTATGGAGTTTCGGAGTTGTACTCTGGGAGATCTACAGCTACGGTTTGCAGGTAAAATCAAGATAACCATTAAATTAAAAACAATAATAAAGAATTTTTGAATTTTGTTTTACATTTATGCACTTATTGCTCTGTTTAGCCATATTACGGATACAACAATCAGGAAGTTATAGACATGATTCGCTCGCGGCAACTATTGCCGTGTCCCGAAGACTGCCCGACGATGATTTACAGTCTGATGATTGAGTGCTGGCACGAGGTGGCGAATCGTAGGCCGCAATTCCCGGAAATTCACCATCGACTGCATAATTGGTACATAAATCAAACCTACTTGAGCGACTTCTGCAACGAGTCTATCACCAGTTACTCCGGCAGTAGTCACAAGAGCACAAATAAGACCAATTCGACGCAACTGTCAGCGCCGATATATAAAAGCGATCAAAAAACAGGCATGGAGACCATGTGTAATCTCAACGATCACAATAACGCGATAAAGATGCTACCACCGATAAATACTTTTCCGAATTCTAATTGCGTTGAGCAGAGACCAAATTGCGGTTTTAACACGGAACATGGAACGCCGATAAAAACGCCTAATTATCAGAATCCCGCTACGAACGTCAATCTGAACGATATCTACGATGACAAACAGTGTTGCTCGCCAAAGTTGAGTGGCGCGAAGAAAGTTTTACCTGCGGTAGTACCTCAAGCGAGTGGGCCCAAGTCGAACGTGGCCAGCAACGGTCCGAGACCGATGCAAAACGGCGCGCAATTGGTTGTCAGGTTACCGGATCCCAGTAAAGTTACGACTGAAACGAGGGTATCAAAGTGAACGACTTTATTCACGAATACGAATGATTCATCTTCGATCAAATGAAACATAGTTTTTGATCGCTAATGGGAACATTAAAGCTCCTTACCAGTCACATTCTCAACACCAAGGATTTGGCAAGCGTGTAGACCGCCATCGAAACAGGCACTGGTGCCAGTTTTTTAATCGAAAAGAGGAAAAAGAAGAAACTGTCGAATGCGTACGTTCGACTCGTATATTTGCCGAGATGATTTGTCGACGTCGACGTGAAAACGTATGTTTATATGATACTTCGGATATTTTTTTTATAGTACTAAACGAATAGAGTAAAAACAGAGCTGCTTTAATAACTAATCATTGCCATATACATACATTTATTTATTTTTACAAATATACACGTATTTTATATTGCCTTTTATTTCGGATCACGTATATAATGTTTCCTCACGATCTATCGGATGATTATTTTGGACGGTATTGAACAAATAAGATAGATACAGAGAGAGAGTAACTATAATACTTAATCACTGCCATATATATGCATTTATTTATTGTTATAAATATACACGTATTTTATAATATATAATATTATCGTTTATTTTGGATGGTATATATACATATATATCTGTAATGTTTTACACCTAATTTAATACAATCTAGTTTAATACATACGTGGAACATAGAACCGAATGTCGTGCTCTAACGATTCCATTCGTGACTATAATAATATAACACAATAGAACGAAATTTTTAAGACGTGCTCCTTTATTTTTACGAAAAGATAGATAATCATTGAAACATTATATTAGCGAATATATGTACAATTTATACGTTTATTCGTAAGATATATAAAACGAGCGAGAAACAATTCTATTTCACAAGGAAGAAAAATAAATTCTCTCTTATAGAACACAATATCAACGAATGTTGATATCTGCATTAAAACGAGTGTTTAATCATGTGCATGCTCTGTCCAAAGAGTATAATGTATGGAATATATTGTTATGCTCTATATAAGGCATACCCCTTATAAATCATGTTTTCAAATAATCTTTACAGAACTGTTCAAAAAGATTCGTATATGCGGGCAATCGGATATATATTGTAATAAGCGAAAGTGAGAAAAAAGAAAGAAAGAGCGACAGAGGTGTGTATGAGTGCGTGTGTGCATGTGTGTATTTTGTGAATATATATTGAGATGTTTTCTAAAAAGCAATTTTTATAATCATATCGTATGCCAAAACCCGGATAGCGAATATTGATTGTTAATAAAAAAACATTCAACTTGTACATTTTTATAATAATCGCATATATATATCTTTTATCTGTAAATCTTTGAGGTCACTCTTTTAGCCGAAAATGTAATTTTATTGCTGCAATTGTGCTACATGAATTGATTGGAATATATTCTATATCTGTAAGCGTAAAGAAACCAATATGCAATGAGAAATATATAAGAATCAATTTATTTACTATATGTTTGTGGCTTCGTTGTCAAACGCGCATTGTCAATATTTATAGATAATTAATGTCAACGTAATTGTATCACCGCTAATGAGAGATAATTTACGCAAATAATTACTAATCTTTTATTTATTCGTAGTATTCTTTGACCTCAAAGACGCAAACGACTGAGATTTGATACCCCACGAACACTCAGCGATGTTAAATGGAAAATTTTATCGGCGTTTGTGTATAAATTATATGTTATTTGTGTATGGGGCATATAATATACATTCTAACAGGCGCTAAAACATTGTCGCTCGATTTGACACTGAATCGAGTAACACCCTATGATGAACTTTGCGAAATTAATGCCCACTTTAAAGAGCGAGATAGCGAATACTAGCGCAGAGCGATAGGAAGTGAAAACGTAGAATTAAAGTATTCAAAGGGGGAGACTGTATTATACTTTTTATAATTTTGTATTAATAAAAAAGAAACATAAAGAACATGTTCCGTTCGTTGGAGAAAAAAAAGAAAGACTGGACTTAACGACATCGTCCGGTGATTTTTACTCCCACGTCCATTAACTGGACAATGATCGGAGAGTGCGCGATAAGTGCTATTGAGTTAAATAAGACTTGTAGAACTGACGAACCTCCGAATCGAATTTATATCGACTGTAATCCCGACCGTCTCGAAGGTTTGTCACGGAAACTTAGACTTAAGTTAATTTATGTAAACTTCAGCGAAGAATTATACACATTTAAAACTTTATATATTCAGTCAAATATAATATACAATTCATGTTTTTCGTATATTACAGATTGGTCATTTCTTTCTTCATATAAAAAAATATATTGAATATAACCGCAACAAACATCTGATTGCAAAAAAATCATCATTACTTTACGCATTTAGCAATTTACATGTGATAAATAATTCTAATTAACTCATTAAATCGATTAATGGATCTTTAAGAAATAAACTTCTCTACATTTATTTTTAATTTATCAGATTTATCCTCTATTTTATGACAGTATGATCAATTAATTGTCTATAGATTGCATATATACTTACAAAGTTATAATAATTAATTTGAATTCTTTCCATTCTGAAAGGCTTTATTTTATATTACGATAATGGATGAATGGATCAATTTGTCTCATCTGATGTTTTATTTAACTAACAATACATACTAGCTTATTTACAATCTTTTTATTTACAATCTGTAACAGATGTTAAAAATAATAAAAATGTCCATGATGTGTAATTATTGATTTAGATGTTTCACTCATAGTGAAATCACGTGTATTGATGACCTTGATCACTTTAGTCTTTCCATTAGCTTCAGTCTTCGCATTAGCGATGCGATAACAAATCAACGCACCATTAAGGCACGCAATGCTAGCAAATTGATCGAAAAAGCACATGGTTTGTCTTATACATCATGATAGTGACTAAAATTGACATTTCTACTGTTTACATAATCCTGCAACCTATAAAATATATATATCTACTCTCTCCGTTAAATAGGAAGTTCTAATCAAAAGATGAATAATTGATGGATATATACTGCACTAATGCAATATTAATACATATATATACATTTTCTTTCTCCTTTTCTCAGCTATAAAGAAAGTTATTTCGGGTTAAATTGTCTCCTGCATAAGGAAGACAATTTAACTGCAATTGTCTCATATTTACACCGTGGACAATGCGATCACGGATAGGACATAACCACAATTTCCGTAATTATACTGTGTAAGAAAATAATATATATCAAAATATATGTCGTTGCAAATAATGCAAATCGGCAAAACACGTTTCAAATGTCTTTGTGAGACGAGCGTTATTTCCGATTACGTCGAGCTTTATCGTGGTCCGAAACAATGAACGGCGTGATTTGGAGTAAAACGCAGAAGACTTTTGTACCAATTTCCAGCGTGCCGATATTTGCTATGCTACAACAAGAACGTCTTAAACAAAGTCGAGCACTGGAAACCCACAATTTCCAATTGCGCAACTTGACTCTAACATCCTACCAGGTACTTCCAAGAAGCTCAACTGAGTTTTTGATGGATATTCTATTTACATTTATAAATATTTCCACACTTCTCTCATTAAAACTAATATTCAATAATTAATAATAATAGTACGATAATTCCTATTAAAAATTTTCAAATTATGAAAAATGTTATCTGAAACTATTCATTGAGTAATTATATTTATGACAAATTTATCTGTAGCTTCAATTTATTCAATTTATTAAAATTATAGAAATTTCCAAGAAAGTATAATTAAATAATTAATAGTATTACATGGACCAAGTGTAATGATGATAGAAATATCGATCGTATTTTTAAATAATAATTGATAATGCAAGAAAGAATAATTTTTCTTATTCTATATTTTGGGAAATGATATTAAATTATTTACTATTCTTTCAACGTTATACAATTTATTAACGAATTACAAACTAAGAAATATAAACTAACTGCGAAGACTTGGATGACAATTTCTTCATGTAATTTAGGATCCGCATTTCCTCGAATTTTACGATAACGATACGAAAGTTACAGGACTTTGCGGTGAATTGTGGACTCTTCTTTCTGCAAAATTGAATTTTACGTAAGATTAACTGTAATCCAAACCGCAATTTATTATATTAGAAGATTGTTGGCAAAGCTAACGATAAATTACATGTACAATCAAAGGATACTTCATATTCTTAGATTACAGCCAATAAAATCAAATGAAACTGGCCTGGGTGCATCATCGAAAAACCATACCATTTTTGAGCAAGGATTATTAAGTATAATTTCGCGCAATGAAACTATTGCGATTCCAAAAGTCGAAACTTACAGTGTTCGACGTATAGCTGTTGATTTTACAATGCCTTTATGGATGAACAGGTACGCTTTTAAGTGCTTCACACGATGACATCTTCTAAAATGCTAAATAGAGACGAAAGAATTGCAACTTTTAAAAAAAGACATATAACAACGTATATAAAATTTATTCTTATAAACTTCAGGTTGTTATAACAAAATCTTATAATAAATGTTACAGCCACCGATTATATATTCAACATGAGATAATACACGACAGCACATGGATGGCAAAAGTGTTCTCCTGGAAAATATGGTGCTTTGTATTGGTTATGTGTCTACTACTGAGCATATGTAGTTTTTGGTCACAAATTATTCTCGCACGGATCGGAAATAATTGCAGACGCTCGACCATTAGCGATCATATTTTTTACACCTTTGGAATGATCTGCAATCAAAGTTTGTATGATTAATATAAATATATGTTTTATCCTCTTTATTTTGAAATAATACAAAAATGATTATGATCGCATTATTTTTATCAAAATAAAATGATATTTTATTATTAAATGGTATGTAATAACAAAAAAATATTAACTTGAGTAATAACTGTAACAGGCTATATTCCCGATGTTCTTATTGGAAGATCAAGAATATTTGAAGTATCGCTGGGCCTCTTTTGTTCTATATTGTCGATGGCATTTGGAGCTTTGTTATTCCTTTATATAACAAAAAGGATTAACGTTATACCGCCATTCAATAATCTAGAATCTCTGCTGACCGATACCTCATATGACGTTGTTATTTTGAAAGGTTCTATTGGAGATATCGCGTTTAAGGTATTAGATATTTATTTATATAATTTGTTAATCTTTAAATTACATCGAGTATATGTGATCCAGATATTGGCTATTAAAAAACTTATAGGTAAACCCTAACAAACCTTATACACTGGTAAGAAGGGCAAAACGCGTCGTCGTTGCATCAACAATCGAGGAAATGTTTAAATTGACATGTATAAAAGGTAAAAAAAAGTATACCGCACTCCAAGGTGAAGACGAGTATAAAGCAAGAGGTCAAATTGGATGTGAGGTAATTCCAATTGGACAATCTTACTTCAAAATGTGGGTAGCTTCCGGCATTGCGAGGAATTTTAAGTACAAAAGGACCATCGACCTCGGGTAAAAAGCGTTACCCGTTATAATACCATCGTATAGGTATAATGCTAACGTGCTGTGTGAACAAGTAATTTTTATGTGTACAGGATACTCAGATTAAAGGAAGTTGGATTGTGGGATCAGTTAGTAGATCGTTGGTTAACGGAGAAAAGTCAGCGTCTTAATAATGCCAACGTAGAAGCGATTGGGATAGATCAAGTTTCTTTAGTAATTTTAATGATGTGCTGTGGAATGATAACAGCTTTTATTATTTTCATAATTGAAAAAATTGTATATGCTTATCAACACAGGCTATCGTAACTTTACACTAATGCTATCATGAATATTTTAATTATGTAATTTTACTTTATTTGCTTCAAAGATTTATC